TTCAAATATAATATTTATTTATATATAATTTATTATAAATTTTAATTATATATAACAAACATACACTGATTAAAGTACTAGTATACAACCAATGTTTTACCATGGCACAAATGGTTGAATAATTCTATACTAATATTTTTCCTTTTGTATGGTAAATGTTAAATGTGTTTTTATTTTAAATTTATTAAATATATTTATTTTTATTACTTTTTTACAAGAAATTAAGAGGATTTGTTGAAAAATTAGTAGAAGGATATATAATTACTTCAAAGACTTAGAAGGAAACTTTAAAAAATGAGTCAAAACCAACAAGATCTATATATATAAAAAAGTGAATAATTGGTTTACAGCATGTTAATGAGAAAATCTTAATTCAACGTCTTTTTTAAATTTTTTTCTTAAAAATATGAAATTAATATAGAATATTTTTATTTTGTTTTTTATTCTAAATTTAAATTTTTTATTATTAATAAATATTGATACTATCGTTAAAGTTCAGACTACTACGATATATTTGATTTGTAAATACTTTAAATACTAAGAATCTATAAAATTGTTTTAATCTTAGTTTTTTTTTTTCCAGTATTCTAAAGTTATGGTATTATATTCTTTAATATAATTTTATGTATCATGTAATAATATTATTAATAATTATTATTATTTTATTAATATCAGTTTAACTATAATTCAACTATGATTGAATCATGAATTTTGAATTAGCATATTGATTGATTCAAATTTAAAAATATTTTTATTTTTATAGAATAATTAATTAAACTATTTATTCTATTTTACTAATTATAAAAACACATTTTTATTGAAATATATAATCTTTTATTAATTAGTGCATGACATTAATTTTTTTTTTCTCATTTCTTAGTTAGAAATATTATTTTATTTAATTCTAAGAGTATTTATATTGAAATTTATCATTGTATTCAAAATGTTATTTTAATGGAAAGAATCTAATTCTTCTGGTGTAAAAAGATAACATTAAGAAAAATAATTAATTTTTCCATTTATATTATCATAAATTTATAATATTTTCCATAATTTTTTATTTTTGACATTTTACACGTTATCATTTGGTTAATGATATCAAAGTATGATGATTTGTGATTGATGTAAACAAACTTTACACGTGTATTTTTTTTTTTCTTCTAATAATAGTTAATACTATTATCTTAAAATTTTCTCTTAACGTGACAAGTAAAACAAAAGAATTTGTCACAAGGTTTTATTTATTGATTTTTTTTTTCTAATTCATAGACGATTTAGCTTAATATCACACACCATGACATGACATGTAATCAAACAAAATTTTATCATTCTCTTATTTATTTGGTACGATGAGGGTTCATCTTAGAGGTTGATCGCATAACGATTAAGAGAAGACAAAAAAATGTTGAAATCATCGTATTGATAATTATGAAAAAAAGTCAATTCCCATGATTCATGAATGCCAGTAAATTGGCATCAATTGGTTGTCGTTGCTTCATATACTACCACAAATCATGCACAAGGCTCTGTCTTTGTGAAAAGTTGTAGTTTGACTTGTTACCCATATTTATACTGACAAGTGGAAAGCACCCTCCAACTGTATTATGTTCATACACGCTTGCTTTTCGAAATTTTTCTCTCTTCTAATTCAATTCCAATGCTGCAACAATGTACTTTTTCCTGTGTTTGCGGTTGCTTTACATCATGTGTACATGACTTGGACGCTTCTGCTTTGTATACATCATGTGTACATATTAATTTAAATTTATTTAAAGAAAATATATTACTGTTGTTTCTTGAGTTGCTTATAAATAATTTTCTGTATCATTAGAGATGCTCTTAGCATTGTGGTATATACCTTGGAGGCATTGTCAGAGTGACGTGACGTTCACGCAGTCTGTTATTATTATTGAAAGCTCAAAAATAGTATCATGGCACTTATTTTGTTGCCATAAGATTTTCTCGTTTGGTTACTTTATTTATTTCTGGAGAGTCGGGAATAAACAAATATTCTTATTCGTTATTATCTGCCAAATTTATGCATTTCTAATTTCTCTGGACAGTAGCATTCTCATGATTGGTGGATTTGATGCTTCCACCTCATTGTACTTTCTCCTTGCAACTTCAGCTTTAATAATTATAAACACGAATCGGTGGTTTTAGCACTAGATTATAAATGTCTGCTTTTGGTTTTGGCCACACTGTCAGCAACGAATTTCTTATATAAACGTGTTCCTTTTTTTTATTTTTTTTATTTTGTGGTGAACATTTTGCTAACGTGCTTTTGGTGGAAAGTCCTAAAGCAGAAAAGATGGACAATCTTGAAAACTACAAGTTGAAGATTTGAATCCGCTTCATAAGTGGATTCCTTAATTAAAAGCAAGAAAGTACTAACATTAACTAATGATTAATACATTGAAAGGGAGGTTTAGGTAATAGTTTGGTCACTACTTGTGTGTATCTTGTCATGACACATTTTGCTCATGTGTTTTGGTGGAAAGTCCAAAAAATTAGACAATCTTGAAAACTACTATGCATAAGTTAAGTTTCAAAAAATTTCTCAGTATTTAACTTATACATAATTTAATTTTAATTTATAAAAAGAATTTCTCTCTTTTTTTTTTTCTATAAATGTTTATGAAAAAAAATTGTCCACATTGAGGCTTGGGTAATAATTTTGGGCATTACATAGTTGGTATTTGTGCATGTGATGATCAACCATGTAAATGTCCAATATCTTGTACTAAATAGTGTACAACCGAATTAAACGCAGGCACAATACATGAAAAATGATCCAAACTACCTTAGTTGCAAAAACAAAGAATGCAAGACAAACGAAGATGGGAAATGCACTTGCAGTGGTTCAATAAAGTTTCATGTTGTCAACATTAGAAGCGACATTGAGTTCGTGTTCTTGTCTGGTGGATTCCTGAATCCCTGCGTTGTGGGAAGGTCCACCCCTGTGAGTTTTGCCAATCCTAAGAAGCCACTCTATGGACATCTCTCAAGCATAGATTCAACTGGAACATCAGTAAGTGCCAAACTACTTTTTCTGCTTAAAATTCAAATATTTTTCTTTTCATTTGAACTCAAATGTGATTTGGTGCTGCAGATGAGATTGACATGGGTTAGTGGAGACAAGCAGCCTCAGCAAATCCAATATGGAGATGGAAAAACAGCTACTTCAGTAGTCACTACATTTTCACAAAATGATATGTGCAGTGAGTATTAGCTTTCCGTTTCCCTTCTCATAAATAACTATGTGCTGTATATATATATATAGATATTATATATATGCTTCTGTATATAGTTTAATTTGAAGTGTAAACATAAATTGAGTGAAGTAGTTTTTTACATTATTTTGATAAGGAAATTGACAAATGACAAAACGGCTCTTATAATTGTTTTAGAATGGTTTTACCAATTTGTTGTTCATTTCCATTTGAAATTGACAGCTTCATCAGTTCTGCCAAGTCCTGCTATAGATTTTGGATGGCACGATCCAGGATACATCCATTCAGCCCTAATGACAGGACTTAAGCCTTTAAGCACCTTCTCCTACAGATATGGAAGGTATGGACCTTACGGAATAAATTGAGGATATGGTTTGAGAAAGTATCTATTCTTCCATTTAAATACATTAATATCCTAACTATTTCGTCAACTCATTAGTTAGGTATTTTATTTATTTCAACGAAAAATTCATGTTTGATCCCGTGATATGTAAAATCTCAAAAACTCATCGGATAGTAACAAGCACAGTATTATAAGCATAATTAGACTATAAAATTAGTGTCTGATCTAATAGTCAAAATGTGTGACGGGACAAAAAAAAATGCATTAATAATGTTATCAGATAATGATTTTAAAACCTGTCAAAATAGTATGAAAAGAACTTGGCTGGTGGTCATTTTAGGGGAATACTACTAATAATATATATGCCTGAACTTCAAGAATTTGTATTTGTGCAGCAAGTATTTCGAGAATTGAGATTTAGCTCATTAAATATGTTGGTTTTCTTTGTGCTTATGATCCAGTAACTCGGTTGGTTGGAGTGAACAAATCCAGTTTTCAACTCCACCTGCTGGAGGATCAGATGAGCTTAAATTCATTGTATATGGTGATATGGGCAAGACTCCTCTTGATGCTTCGGAAGAACACTACATTCAGGTAAACTGCTGCATCAAATATATTAGCATTTAGATTTCAGATGCATATAAGCCACTAGAACTTGGCTAATGGTGAAGAGTCATGGAATTCTCTCACCTCATTACATTGTCTTGTTTTCATGCAGCCAGGAGCTCTTTCAGTGATTAAAGCTATAGCCAATGATGTAAATTCTAGCAACATAAATTCAGTCTTTCACATCGGAGACATAAGCTATGCAACAGGTTTTCTAGTAGAATGGGATTTCTTCCTCAGCCTTATCAATCCAGTAGCTTCCAGGGTTTCTTATATGACAGCAATAGGGAACCATGAGAGGTATTGCATCCGCAATTCCACATTAATGATAATTCTGACCAACCCACATTTTCCTCAAATATCTACATTACTTGAACAGTTTAGACAAAAAGTTCCCATAAAATCACCGCTTATTTCCTGTAAATTGTTGAATAAATAATATTTAAAAATTAATGCATGTTATGGTATAATTTTTATAAACATGTTTATACTCAGGGATTACATAAATTCCGGTTCAATATATGTCACTCCTGACTCTGGTGGGGAATGTGGAGTACCTTATGAAACATACTTTCAAATGCCAACTGCAGCAAAGGATAAGCCTTGGTACTCCATTGAACAAGGAAGTGTTCATTTCACAATTATATCAACTGAGCATGACTGGTCAGAAAAATCTGAGCAGGTAAAAGTAAAACTAGGGAAGCCATTATTCTTTTTCTCATATTTCTGGTTCTGTTGAATAGTACATATGATTTGTGTAAATTCCCTATTGCAGTATCAGTGGATGCAAAAGGACATGGCATCAGTTAATCGACAGAAAACTCCTTGGCTAATCTTCATGGGGTAAGTGAGTTGGGCACATTTTTTAAACATCATCAGTGGATCTATATATTAAGCATATGCATGACATTTTCACATGCAGACATAGACAGATGTATTCCTCCTGCCATTCATTGTTATCTACTGAAGAACTATTTAAGGATTCTGTGGAGCCATTGCTACTAGAAAATAAGGTTTGCAAATCAAGCTCCTTAGTCATTGTGTATGGTTCTTCATTGACATTGTTGTAGTATTGTGAACATGAAACAGGTTGACTTGGTTCTTGTTGGCCATGTACATAATTATGAGAGAACTTGTTCCGTGTTTCAAGGTGAATGCAAAGCCATGCCTACAAAAGATAAAAATGGGGTGGACACATATAATGGCAGAAATTACAGTGCCCCTGTGCATGTTGTCATTGGCATGGCTGGCTTCAGCTTAGATAAATTCCCAGACCAAGTAAGCAATTATCTCTTCATCATTCTCTTTCCTTCTCAATCCTCCACACATTATATATTTTCTCTTCTTGCGAGAAAATTACATGACATAATTTTTTCATACTTACATCCATATATATCTTCAGGATTGTGCTAATGGTTTTTTACTAAGCAATCAAATTGAATGTTTTCTTGCATTGTCAGGTGGAAAAATGGAGCCTGAAAAGGATTTCCGAGTATGGTTATTTTAGAGCACATGCTACAAGGAATGATTTAAACTTAGAGGTTAGTATTTTGTGCCCTAAGAATCACTTCATTCCTTTTTATTTATTTATTATATTTGGAAGCTGCATGTACTAAATACAAATTATATTGACTATCCTCTTCTTCATTGTAGTTTGTCGTCTCGGATACAAGAGAAGTTAAGGACAGTTTCCACATTACAAAGTGAAAGATTACTAAAAAAAAACATACATATAAGTGGAAGGTATATCATAGATAGAGACATGCACACAAATACACAAATCATAGATGTTATTGAAAGTCAAAGGAGATCCGGAGACAGTCATAGATCAGCAATTTTTCACTTTTAATATTGTATATGGTCTTTATCTCATGTACAACTTTCTTCAAAATCCGAATAATGATATTAACAAATAAGTCTTTTTATTCTTATAAAAAGAAAATTCTTGAGATGAATAGAGGATTGCATTATTTGCACACATGGACAGATAGAATTGAAGAATTTCACACACCAAAGCAAATATTGTTAAACAAGACATCGCATGTGGAAGCGTGCAAGAACAAATAAGATCAATTGGAAGCAAATACAAAGCTAGTTTCCAAATTTCAATTATCATTAATAGGCGTTAGAGATAAAAAAAAAAATCACGCAAGTGAACGTTCATCTCAAAAAAATTAGCCACATTGGAATCGTATAATCGTATGATAAAAAAAAATAAAAAAAAATCCAAACATGCTTGTTCAAACTAGCTTTGCTTGTTTCTTTCTTGTTCAAACATACTGTGAATTTCATCATTGATGTTCAAGGCCAATCATAAAGATTGAGAACGCCAAAAGGGATTGAAATTTTTATATAAAGATGTATATTGGGCTTATAAAATTCTTAAAGGGCTAGGCTCAGACATTTCTTTAATATATTCAACCGTCTAATTTTACCTTCCTGCATTCATTAGTTTTTGGCAAATGTTATATACAACCCCTTTCTACTAGGTCAGCCTTCCTTCTCAAATTTTTTTCTCTCAAAGGTTTCCTTAAATATTATTTTTATTTTTATTTTTAAAGTAAATTTTTTTTCAAAATTTTTTTTTCTTCCTTCACCATCTCTTTCTTCACTCATTTTTTTGGCTACTCTATCCATCTCTAATCCTTCTTCATATACCTCCCTTTTTATTTCTTGATTTTTCTCTTCAATAATCAAGATACTTACTAACTCATTTTTATTATTTTTTAAATTTTATTTTTTGCACTCTTAATTAACATTTTTTAAACTCTAATTTTTCATTATATCTTCAATTTCATATATCGGAATACAAGGTTGTGAATTTTACGAATATGTCATTTTTAAATATATGACCTGTTAGTTTTATGATGAATAATTAATTAAAAATTATTTTTTTATTATTACCATTTTGAAATTGTGTTTTCTAGTTCTTAAAATATATTTTTAGAAAGAACTATCTGAAAAAAAAAATATTTATTTTAAAAAACTCTTTTTGAAAATATATTTTTTTCTTTTAAAAATTATCTTTCAGAAATATGTTAGAAAATATATATTTTTGAAAAGCACTTTTCGGAAGAGAAAAAATATAGGAAGTGTATTTTTCTCTCTACTGGAAAATATTTTTTGAAAAATTATATTTAGAGAATAAGTAAATAAACAAAAAGTAAAAAAAAATGTAATATTAATTATTGCAAGTGTATTTAATTTAACAAAACCCATAAGTTTTTCATATTCGTGATACATGGGCCAATATGGTCCATATAATCTGGCCTGTGTCGATAAACATTTAAATGGACCGAATTAAGTTAGCCTGCTTATTAAATAGGCTATTTTTGGCTCGTGATATATACACCTCCTTTTTTTTTATAAGTACACCTCCTTTTTAAAAAAAGTTATAAAGTTTTATTATTATTTTTTTAAAATTTAATTTTACACTTTCAAATTTCAATTTGCTACTTTCTTCTTCTTATTCACACACCATTTTTTTTCTCTTTCAATTTTTACATGTTACCAAAATAAGTGAGGTGAAGGAAAAATAAGGGGGTACATGTAAAAATTGAAAAAAAGGAGAAAAGATGTGTGAGAAAAAAGTACTAAATTAAATGTTATGGATGTAAAATTAAAAAATTTAAAACAAAAAATTAAGAATATTTTAAAATTTTAATTATTTTTTTAAAAGGAGGTGTACTTATAGAAAAAATGAGGTGTATATATCATGAACCGCTATTTTTTTTGTCCAGTTTGCGTCTAGTCCATTTAGTTTGCGGGCTAATGCACTAATCTGCAATAATAAAAAATATAATATTAATACATAAGTATAATATTTTATAGCTCAAGATTTATACATTATAAATAGATAAATTAATTTTCAACCCTTAAAAATAATTGAAATATCTACTTAAATTAATTCCAACTATAAATTTAAATTGTGATGAATATTAATTTTTACAGTAAATCAAACGAGTATATTTATTTATTTGGTGAAATAGGACATTTTTATAAAAAAAAATAATAAAATTAAGGACTGCTTCTTTGAGATATTAAGATCTACTATTTAAGGGTATGACTTCTCTTAACATATTTTTTTTATACCCACAAGCATAAATAAATAGTTTTTCTTATTTTATCTCTATCTAAATAAATACCTTTTATTATTTCACTTTTAAAATATAATATTTTATTAATATCAACATTTAAGGGTGATCACAAAATAACTAAGTATTTTGTTAACAAATATTACATTTTTTTATATATTTTTTTTAATAACAGTCATTTCCTTTTTCTAGTAAATATTTTATATTAAATTACTTAAATTAAAAGTATGAAACCCTTTGAATATTATGTCCAAACATAAATATTTTTTTAAAATTAATTTCAGTTAAATGTAAAACTTCCATTCTTCCAATTGCAACAGCCTGATTGTGTTAATAAATGGATACAGGATCATGGAGACTATCAATTATTAGTTTATTTCCAAACATGTAGTATATTTTTCGTCATATTTCCGGTTCTTTACTCAATGGGCAAGATCAATAAAATACAAATGCTTTTTTAGTTTCCGCACTTCCTTTGTTAGGTTAGGGTTAGGGAGGGACCCTCTTCTTTCATTTGGGCTAGTGGTCCTTATTCTTATCTTGCCCACTATGCTTCAATGACCCACATATAGGATCTGTTAATCTGTTATTTTCTGACCCCCAAATGTATTTTTTAGGTGGATACAGATTGAAATACATTACTTCATATTATCAAATACATTATCTTAATTACCCCATTTAGAACAGGCTTAATGATATTTTGACCAGATTTCAAAACTAAAATAACTATTTACTAGGTGAACGTGGTCCATTTGATGACTAGCTGAATTTTACTTTGCTCTTTAAAAAAACCAACAAATTGTTTTGTCTCTTTCACAATTTTGAATTAATACAAAATATCAATACTGCAGTATTCTTAGAATATTAATCCTGATAAGTTAATCAACAAGGCTTCTATTATGAGCTTTCTACCAACATCAGTGTGATTCACTGCTTTTTGAGTGTACAAGATGTTAATATATCCTTTACGTATTGCTTATATCAGTTATATGTTGTAATGCAATACTAATCCGGTTCTCCAAAATGAAAAAAAAAAAAAACATTAAAAATTTTAGAGTAATTTCAATGGGAGTTGTTTGTCCTATGAAGCAATTCAAGCCCGGGTTTCTTGTTATTGGAGGACTCTGACGTGGCAACATGAGTTGCTTGAAGAAGAGAGAGAGTTACTTCCTCAAACAATTGTTCCTTATTAGATTTCAAGCACATCTTATTGAACATATTTGGAAACGTTTCAAAAATAATAATGATAAAAATTAATTTCGTATAATGTTTATGTATTTACTATTGTTTTATTTTATTTTTAATATCTACTTATTATGTATTTTTTCTCATAATTTATTTTCTTTTATTGTAGTGCAATTATCCTTTTTAATAAAAATTTAAATTTAATTCATAAATAATTAAAAAAAAAATTTAAAAGTTGAATTTCTTAAAATTTCTTATCATTGGAATAAATTTGTATTTAAATTGCTTAATGTTGACATGGAACATTAAAAACTACTTTTTTTATTTTTTTAATGCATGAAGCAACTCAAATGAGTTATTTCTATTTTAGAGATGGCAAAATGTGTTGCTTGGTTATGTAATTCAATATCACAGACATGTCGGCATAATCTTCGGAGGCAGATCCAAATTAAGGAATTTTAATCTTCTTCGTATGGCCTTGTTTTACTTTAAAATATCTTTGATTAGTTCCTGAATAGGTTTTATTATATTATAAAAGAACCAATGCAATGCTTGTAAACCGACCATTTTAAGTCAGTAATTGTTTTTATTGATTTGTGTGATAGTCTGCGTGATCCTATGAATGAAACAATAAAAAAACTAGAGGTTAGCACCTATCTCATTATGTCTCTCACTTATGTAATTCACATTAGTTTATAAGCAAGGAAACAAAGTCAAGTTTGTTGTATTGATGTGTTTCATGTGAACTACCAATATAAATTGTTTCTTTCTACCAAATCACATTAACCATGTTGTACTTTTTGAACTTTTCTGACCCTTTTTCTAAAATTAAATTAGTACTGCTCTTCCAGGTGGCCATCATTCAACAGTTCATTAAATTTAAAACTAAATTCCCACATGTTAAACCAGTGATGTTGTGCCACATTTCAGAAGCAGATATTTCCTATGTTGGCTAAAGTATATATTCACGTTTTCACAAAGAATGTCCAAATGCATTCCTCTCATAGTGTGGTATTATTTAAATTTAGTAATCTAATCAAATCATCTTTGCCTGTTTGGAATTTCCTTATATGTAAAATTCTGTTGATCAATGAGTTCAAGTATCCAATCAGTTAACACTTTCAACAATTTGAAAGGGCATTGGCCCTGTTGTAACATGGTACTTAACACAGCCATAATTAGTGTCAATTAAAACCACCTTATTCTATTTTTCTTCAATTTTAGTTACAGAAGACTTGCAATACGCTTAAATTGCAAGTATTGAGAAGTAAAGACAGAAACCTAGCTAGCTATTGGAGCTTCCTTTAAGTCACAACGGTTGAGAATGACAGGTTCTGCAAGTACAAAGTTATCAAAAAAGCATGCTTGACACCTCATGTACTGTCAGAGACCTTAATTCAATCCATGACCAAATTTATTCTTCCTTGCTCAGATACCAAACCAGCTCACCAAACTCAACTGCTGCACAAATTTAAGTATTATTGGTTCCAATTATTCTCCTCATTATATCAATACAGATTAAAAAAAGTATCATAAAACATATATATAGAGGAATAAATGGAAAAATCAATTTTTTTAACGAATCAAATTTATGCATTTAGAGTGGTGAGTTGAATGTAAAATATAAGTTTATTAATAATACATTTAATTTTGTCATATAAAGTTTTGTATTCAAATAAATGGTATATAATTACATTAGATACTTTAAAAGAAGAATTTTATATTTTACCGTGATTTTAGTTGACTTAAACATAATTATGGTGATTTATAAAAGGAAAAAATTGTATACATGAGTCACTCAATTTCTGTCCGCATATGAATTAAGATTAGAGTATCTACAGTAAGAGTTGCTTATAAATAATTTCTTGTGTCATATTATACTGTCTTTTTTACTTTATGAGTTGTTTAAATTTTAGCAAAATTATTTGTAAAAATTTCAGTACTAAAATTTAAGCAATCCATAAAATAAAAAAGAGTTGATGTAGCATGATGTGTACATGAGTTTGCTTATTGAGTCACTATAATTTAATACAAATAAAGAATTTTTCTTTTAACTTTTCAATAGCATATTACATTAATATTGTTTTGACGACATTCTTTCCCTGCAAATTCTCCTCCATTTCTCGGGAAACACGTTGTTCTATAGTAAAAAAAACTATGGTGGTAATGATGGAAGACTAAACTAGTGATTACATATTTTTGCAATCAAAGAGAATCTCAATTCATCGAAGAGTGGGTGTTTGTAGCCGACCACTTTCAATCAATTGTTTGTTAATTAATCTTTGTAAAGTCGAGATTTCTCGGGCACTGGTCCTAGCTTTAAATCATCAAAATACAAACCAAAAACTAAAAATAGAAAGAAAGAAAAGTTATATATGAAAACTAAAGTTGGTAACTTTGTATCTTCTCATGTTATTTCTCATGAATTAATAAATAAACACTTGTGTAGTTAGTTATATTGACGGGATTCTTGTGAGCTACCAATAACAAAAAAAGTGTTGCTCTCTACCAATCACATTTACCATCTCTCACACGCTCTTGCTTTCTCGTTGGTACTATATTGATTATTCATTTTATTTTCTTTGTAATTAAATTATTTTATCATTTATCTTCCTACCAATTGGACACAAAAATCAACTTTTGATGGTGGGTTTAGCACTTTAGCTAGTAATGTTGAGGCATAAAGCAGATAGATATTTTTCTGTGGACTAAGCAGATATTTCCATTTCATTTCATTATGTATAAAGGGAAAGGGAAGTACCATAAGATATAACTCAATCTGACTAAACTAACCACCAAGTTATTTTACTTGGAAACATTTTTAACCCAAAGAGGCAAAAACGGATAGTTGAAAAGATAACGTGATAGGTATATATTGAGTAAATCAATCATTCAATTACCCATAAAATCCGTTTTCCAAATCTCCCACACGAAAAAAAAATGTCTGTAGTCCTGTAATCAATGACTAGGGAATTTTTAAGAGTCTCAAATTTACACTTTTAAGAAGGCAAAATTCCAAATCGGATATTCACTTACTTGTCATGTACTACTACTTTATTGATGTAAAATTATATTCAAATTTATAAACGTGTAGTAATTTAGAATATGATGTACAAATACTTTATTGAATGATAGTAAAAATTACAGTTTTGTTAACTCATTTAAAAAATAAAAAGTATAATTTTATAACCAAAATAACAATTTTTATCTAAAAATATATTTTAATATTATCAACAAATTACTGTAGTAATCTTCAATAAAAACTATTTATTTGTTAATTCTTTAACAGCAATGGTTAATAAAACAATAAGAAAAATACAGATAAATTCAAACTCTGTCCTCAAAATCAGATAAATATAAAAAATATCTGTCAATATGCTTGTAGAAATGAAACTAATTCTGCAATTACTGTTGCAATTAATAATTATAAAGCTAAAAATTCAAACCACTTTTCAAGATAGACAATAAGTTATAGAAACAAAAATAATAATAAATTTTTTTTTCTCAAACTAAAACTAACTCATACTATTTTAGAAAAACTAATCTTCTGCCAATTAACATTGTTTAAGAAATTGAGTGGAATTGGACTCGAATAAGCCACTGTTGAATGAGTTGGAAAAGTGAAAAGATGTAGAAACTTAATAAGAAAGCAGGGAGCTTTTGTGGTTTTGGACGTGGCAGGACATAATTGGATGAAATAAAAAAAAATGGCAACAACTGAAACATGCAAGAGAGTCAATGTAGCCGTTGCACCCCAACACTATACAACACAATCATTAACGCTCACAACAACATAACAACGTTGGAAAGAAAGAAAGGACCCTCGTTGTCTCTCTTACTCACAACGCACGCTCCTTCAATGAATTCCCATCTCATGGATTCAAAATCCAAACTTTGGACGCCCCCTTCATCTTCCACCGCCACCACCAGCAGCAGTAGCAGCAGCTGCAGCGAGAGCGACGACACCCCCTTCTCTTCCCAACGCATCATCCCATTGCTCCCCACTTTCTTCCACCATTCTCACCGATCACTCGCGGTTCTCTCCGGCCACGTGGGCTCCGTCTCATGCCTCGCCCTCTGCGGTGAGTTCATCCTCAGTGCCTCGCAGGGTAAGGATATCATTGTGTGGCAGCAACCAGATTTAAGGCTCTTCGCCAAGTTCGGACAAGGCGACGGCTCCGTCAAGGCCCTCGCCACCGTCGCCAACAAGGTCTTCACCGCACACCAAGACAGCAGAATCAGGGTTTGGAAAGTTTCCAGAAGCTCCGAAAACGTGTTCAAGCTCGTTGACACGCTCCCCACAACAAAGGACTATTTGGGGAAGTTCATGAAGCAGAGCAACTACGTCCAAACCCGGAGGCACCACAAGCGTTTGTGGATTGAACATGCCGATAGTATTTCTTGTTTGACGGTTTATAATGGGTTTGTTTACTCTGGGTCGTGGGACAAGACTCTTAAGGTGTGGAGGATTTCCGATTTGAAGTGTTTGGAGTCGGTGAAGGCTCATGATGATGCTATTAATGGGTTGGTGGCGTGTAAAGGGGTTGTGTATTCTGCTTCTGCGGATGGAAAGATTAAAGTTTGGGGGAGAAAAGATGGGAAGGGGGAGCATTGCTTGAAGGGGGTGTTGGAGGGTCGTAACAAAGATGTTTCTTTTAACTCTGTTGTTGTGTCTGAGGATGGGAAGTGGGTCTATGGAGGAGGGTCTGATGGGTTTGTGATGGGGTGGGAGAGGTTTGACTTTGACTTTGAGAGATGGAAGATGGTTTCTGAGACTAAGGCACATGAGATGGCTGTGTTGTGCATGTGTTTGATGGGGGAGTTTTTGTGCAGTGGTTCGGCTGATAAGAGCATAGGGATTTGGAGGAGAGAGGCTTTTGGTAAGCTTTGTAGGGTTGGGGTCATAAGTGGCCATGAAGGGCCTGTCAAGTGTTTGCAGGCCTCGTCTAATAGAGTTGGTGGTGGCTTTTTGTTGTACAGTGGAAGCCTTGATAAAAGTGTGAGAGTTTGGTGGGTCCCAAGGTATAGTAGTAGTAACAATGCAGATGTAGAGGATAGGGATAACAACTCTACTATACTTGGGAAAATGAATGAATCTATGAGTCCATCTATCGTAACATGTTAGGATAGGAACATGTTGAAGGCTGAGTGATGAAGCACACGATCTATTTTAACAGTGTCTGCAGTGCTTCCTTCTTGATTTGTTTTCTGCTTCTAGGATGCTGAAATGAAGAGTTACTTCAGACTAGAAGGGCAAATTGAAGATTTTGTTTGTATCTTGAAGTTGCTGTTTTGCTCTTCTGTTTGTAATTGGTGTTGATTTCACTTTTTTTTTCAGCTGATTGTAGAATTTTAGGGGGAAATTAGGGGGCTTGGTTTATTTATTTATTTATTTTTGTTTTCTTAGTGGAGAACTTAGGGAACATAGCAGAGTGGTGTGGTTATACTTTTGTATTTTGAATTTCATTGTTTTGTATTTGTATACAATTGTAACTATGCCTATAAAGGATTCGATCAATGCAAATAAATCATGTTCTTTGTTGGTTGGATGATAATGTGCATTCATTGGAAGCTTAATGAACATAAACCTTTCTAGTGTTTGCTTGGGACAATAATAATCACTTGGAAAGAGCCACAGGACATTACACTTTGTTACCCTAGGCACATTGAAGAGATTAATGTCTCCAAATATCATTATGACAAGCTCTTCAGCAGCCATAACAAATAAACCAACCAACCAACCAAGAATAGAAAAAGCAAAAAGATTCTGGAGACAAACAATTCTGTTATTATTTGAGTCAAGGAATCTTGTCTGCGTTCTATGATATGACGTCTTTCTGATATATTTGTCAGTCATTGATTCGATATCAAAATCAGCGTACTTATTCTGCTTGTTTATTTACTTATTTTGTTAGTGGAGACAAATGTTAATTGCAAGTGAGATCAGAGAACAAGGTAGTGCAGAAAGATTACTTATGATTCAGTTTTCTGATTCTTTGAAATATACACGTAATTTACTCGGCTATTTTGAAATGGTAATATTATTACTAGTAAATGTACCTGGATACAAAATATTCCCACATTTGTTTCTGCAGAAGTAATCTAAGTGCGATATTCTGAAGTCATTGACTTTAACTACAGTTAGATCCTATGCGCCTAAATTTGATGCTCTTCCACCGTCCATTTGGTAGAAAGAAACTGAAAGCAGCTATGTATGTCTATTTGGCTGGACCACGGAAAAGCAGGGAAGTCATTGCTTTAAATTATTTAAAAAGCCACCATTCACTAACCAGCAGGCCGGACAACCTAATTTCTTTAGCTCTCCTGAAGCAATATTTTCTTCTCTGGGTTTGGACCACACATAAAAAAACAGTATATTCTATTCATGTAAAAGAGGGAACGTCCATATGATGTTAACAACATAAATGAGTAGCTGTTTTGGATTTTCCTTTGTTATTCTTAAGATATTCAAAAGATGCTCCCCTGTTATTTGTACCAACCTTTGCTTTTAGAGATAGGAAGAGGAATAATGCAAGTCTGAGAGCCATGTGAAAGAAATCAAGTAATCATTTTAAGCAACAAGTAAACTTGAAAGTAATGCAGGTGCAGCCAACCTGCGGACAAATTTGAAAGACACCGTTTTAAAATATTTCAAGCAACGAGGTATTCGGAAGAGTAACAAGTTTATTTGTTGGTTGGGTTGGACTTTTCAACTGCACTTTTGTAATTAAAATAAGATTTCTCAATTCAATGGGAGAAAGTCATTAAGAACATGTTTCAATTAAAACTTCAAAGTGAAATAACCAGGAAACATGGAAGCATGGACACCCAAAAGGCATATATATGCCTTTTTTGTAGTTCATTCTTTTTAACGGCGTCTAAATAGCAAAATTGCTTGGGAAACTAAACTCATTAGCCGTGTTCACGGGGAAGAAACCAGTATATAGTGTAAAGGTGTGGAATTTGCTTAAATATCGTTATTAAAAATAAGAGTTAGAAATTTAATTAGTATAAACCTGAAAATTTAAACAGCTAAAAATACCAAACTTTTATTAGAATCAAAGTGAGTCAACTTCAGTAACATCAATCCAATTTTTTGATTTCCGACGGTGTTAAACAGTTAAACATCTGAATTTTTTTTATCTATTTAAATTTTAACAAGGCCTCTGGAACTTCAAAGAAACCAATCAAATATTAATTTATTTAAATAAAATTAGGAAGAAAAAAAACTACAATACTTAACAAGCAATAAACCTTTACTCACTGTTATACCATAAATACATGCCATGTTCTAAACTAGGGGCTACAAAACTTTTCCAGTTAAGATAACATGAAAAAAAATGTTACAACAATACTCTTCTCACACACCGGATTGGATTTGCCCATTTATGACATTTTAACAATCTGAATCATGAGCAATGGATATTGAGCTTGACCAGCTAATAAATAATCCCCTACTTTTTCTCCATGCAAGACATTAATCCTTTCATACAAGGGAATAGCTCTCTGTCAGGTGCAGAAGGGAATAGATATTGACATAACAATGTGTATTTTCACATCTGTTTGTAGAAAAGGACATATGCCTGGTCATGCAACACCTTATTTGTTCCAATGGCAAAGACAGATGCATCATCAAATCGTAGCCACCGACCATTGGGGTATTGGGCATCAGCTGTGTAGTGCCCCTTTGAAGGCTCCCTTCCATGATGAGTAATTGTAGCAACAAGTTCATACCTTCGGCCCTGCAGAAGCATAAAAAAAATCAGCCATAATGCCCTCTTCCAATCAAGGGTAATACTCCAGATTTCCAGTTAAATAAAATTCTGACAGAGACAGTGAATGATTACATTATCATAGGTATTTTAAGCATTTTTCTTTTTTCCCCGGAAAAAAATAACAGTTAATAGCCCAAAACAGCATTCAAAGTAGCGTTCAAAATTCACTATAAGTGAATAAATACTTTTTAAATTAAAGAACTTCATATATTCTAATTTTTTTTATGATAATGACTTGAAACATTTACTTGTGATCAGCAGTAAATGATCACAATGTGATGTATGACACATTTACACATTTTCTTTTAGAATAAGGAGATTACCTAAATTAATCTTAATGAAATAAAATAATCATCGAGGAAAGATAAATTTATGATGAAAAAACCTTGACAACTAAACATCTGTAAAGCTAACTCACTCCCTAAAAAATCAGTACATCATTGGGAATAAAGTAGTTGCATTCTAGTAACCAGAAAGAGACATCATTTATCACCACAAACACTAACTATTTAGGTCCATAACAGAGGAGCTGGAATATAGAGACATATTACATTACCTCGGTGGATGGCGAAACAAGCAAATCACGACCAAATACCAACTCAAGAGGAAAATGCACAGGCTTGTGCAATTTGGTGCTTCCCTGGCTTCCATAACTAAAACGCATGAGGTGCAATATCATTATTTGAGGAAGTGTCACTATCTGTACAGATTTTCTTGCAGTCACAACACCAGCCTGAAAAAAATTTAAACCAATATTTTAATAGCAGTAGTAGTAGAAAGCATATTCACCAACACAATCCAAGGTCATCATTACCCACTACAAAAGGCTGAATTAAAGATTAATGGATCCTCAGAACAGTCATATTACTAATGACTAAGAAGACTTTCTATGCTGCAAAAATTACTAATGGGGTGTAGACATGAAGACCATGGAAGGCAAAATTCTTCCATTAGTTCCATGGCTTCCTCCATTAAACAGCCCAACAGATTTAGAATCTTGAAACCAGTTGATGTTTCCACAGGCTTATTGGAAATGGGAATGAGACCTGGAGCTAGACTGTTTTGAAGTAACCAAGGAAAAAGAACACCAATGATGAAGGAATTTGGGTGAAAATACCTTTTCCAACAAATATATATACACAAATATAAAACAATAAAGTTAAAAAAAGAATGAACCCCAATGGGGGTTAAAGAACATATAGCTCCACACATGCTAGGGTACAACAAAATTTCTAAAGTTAAGGCGTGGTTATGAGAGGATATATTTCAAGATGTTATACCTCAAGAACCCAAAAATATTTAAAGCCACAAATATTGAGGGGAGTTAAACAACAATTTAATTTCATTCAGTAAAAAATCAAACAACTTAGCAGCAAATATTGGTGTTAAGAATGGACTGATTTATGCTGAGTGGTAAGTGAGTAATAGGTGCATTGCCACGTGTACCAAACAGTTACCAGTACTGAAAACATAATGGTGACTATTTAGGATTACAAAATACAAATGCAACATAAAATGTCATAAAATGTATCCAAAATAGTAAACAAAGGGGATACCTTTGCAGTGACTGATGTTCGGTACCCCTCAAGAGTTTCTGGTGCAGAAAACAAGTGCAGCGCATCCTCAATTGTGTGAACAGAATCAGGATAAATGTCAAGATGGAGCAAGCGATATGGTTGAACAGTGGCAGAAGCTCTATTTCCTGAATGACAGAAAATAAATCATGACAATGGTTAAATTTTTTTTATATACTTCAGTTACATGCACAGTTTTCTTCTTGATGGGGCAGGTGAATTTTGGCAAGAACAACGTAAAAAGAGAATAAGAGTTCAGAATTACAACTATACAACATGAAGTAACAGACTGACCCAACAAAATTCCACAAAATGATAATGAATTTGAGTTTGACAGTGAAAACAAAAAGAAATTTCTTCACTAATATATGTGTTATATTCTGTACCTTGAGCTCTCACCAAACTTCTAAGTTGTCCTCCAAAAATACCACTTAATTCTGATGGGACAAAGCTTTGAGTCCTTGTTACAGCCGATTTATTCTTCGGCCCTACTGTTTCCCATTCATCATCTTCCACAGAAGAAACCAGAGAAGATTTGCTACCATTAAGACTTGAAAACTGTCCTTCAAGCTTCAGTAATTCATCATGCATTTGATCCATTACAAAGCTCAGAAATTCCTGAGCATCTTCCTGCCTGAAATTGACATGTTGGTACTAAGTATATTACTTAATTGCAAGTTTATATTACCAATTAAATCATGACACTTGGGCATTCCATACTTTCAAATTACCAGATAACTTCCTTACTTGTGTCTACAAAATCTGAGACACATTGGTTCACAGACAAAATTGTTTATATGATAGGAATATATGTGAAGGCACAGTCAATAAAGGTTAGGAATGGAAGATTGAGAATAAAAACTATTGAAGATTTATCTAAATATGCAAAAATCATAAACAATTGTAAACATTTAAAATAATAAAATAATGTTATAATCATGTTCCACTATAGGCCTGACAGAGATTATAAACATGATCATTTTTTAATTATTAGTAAGACAATTATTAACATATGATATGATTAAACTTAAAAAGTTAAACTGGTCAAGAACACATCCACACAAAATAACCCAAATAGCATGGACAGAGGTCTTCAAGACATAAAAACCAAATCCTCACCAACCTTGGTCTTCCTGAAATACTATTCGGCACATCTGGAGTAAAATTTTTTAGAACACCTTCAAACATAACAGGGCAAAATGGCCTTCCAGATTCAAACGTATCTGTATCTTGGTTCTTTAATTTTGTTGAGCTTGGCATGTCAAATTGGGCTATAAACTCAGCAAATGCCAACAACGTGGGATATCCAACCTAATATATTAGGGAAAATAAACATGCAACAATATCAGTTCAGTACTTCTCTAGCACAAGGAAAATCTGAATGCATACAATATCAAAAGAACACTATTCTGAAGACTTATACACCAAACAACATTTTTAATACAGCTTTAAATACAACTTTTAGATATTTTTTTTAAAATAGCAGAATTAGTTGACGTGCAGCAGTAGGAGCAGACAAACTAACCTTAGGAAGGTTGCGAGTTCTTAATTGCTGTAAAAGCTGAACAAACGGTGAACATGACAAGAGAGCCTGCATGGTTGCATTAAGAAAGCAAAGATTTCCAGAGTTGATAAGGCCTCTAGGCAATATATCCTTAACATGCATAACAGCATGTCCATTAGGTGCCTTTCGGAGGTTAGGATCAGATAATTTCGATGCAGAATCATCACCACTGCCAGTTTTAAGCACATTCTTCAACCTTTCAGCCTCAGACGCATCTAGGCTCAAATTTGCAAACTTGTTTGAGGGACCATCTTCACCGAGTAATGTAAAAGAATTCACATTTTTTTCTTCAACTTCATTTACACTAATGGTACTCGTAGGGCTAGGAGAGAAATTGGTAATGCTGCCATTCTCTTTAATTGTTCCTGACACTTCCGGAGAATTATCACTGACACTTTTCACTCCATTACATTTCAGAGAATCCGAGGGTGGAACACTATCTGATGCTATTGATGAAGTTGGAAGGTCGTTCGACTCAACAGTAACAGAATTCAGAGAACCAAATTGCAGCTTATTCTTCTCCACAGGCTTTTCATTTTTCCCAGGAGACTGCTTTGACAACAATGATCGAGTTTCATCTTCAGTAAATGACCCAAATAGCAGCATCTGCAAAGCAATGGCACACAAATCCAAACGAAAAAAAACAAGAGTATATTAATAACTTCAACAAATAACAAATTTTATCTTAAAAAAACGAAATTTAAATATAAGGCATAAAACAATTCGATTCTACAACCAAATTAAACAGAGTAAAAAAAAAAAAAAAAAAAAA